AGCTGGATATAACCTGTTTGCTATACCGGTATTACAAATACGTGAACAATAGTATATTATAAATTACTTTTTATGTTCAATGTTTATTTAATCTTTAAAAAATGATACCCCGGTAAATGGAGAAACTAAAGAGTGATCATGGTAAAAATAAAACGTACATATACAATATTACCTATCACTATCCATCCCTCATTATAATTATTTGCCGAAGCCCCTTCTCAATTACAATTGAAATAAAATACATTAACACAGAATAGAGTTTTTTTTTTATTTTGCGAGAACAGGCCAAAGAAAGCGAACACAGTTCAAAATGATTTTATGCACCAGTGTTTGGAATTACGATTAAATATGAAAGATGGGTAAAATAATCTTATTGAATCGCGATGTAATTAAAAACACAGTTTTCTATTAATTGTTAAGTCTTTCTACACAATGGTCTAATACAATCACAAACACTTGCTTTGTTTATTTTGCGAGAACAGGCCAAAGAAAGCGAACACAGTTCAAAATGATTTTATGCACCAGTGTTTGGAATTACGATTAAATATGAAAGATGGGTAAAATAATCTTATTGAATCGCGATGTAATTAAAAACACAGTTTTCTATTAATTGTTAGGTCTTTCTACACAATGGTCTAATACAATCACAAACACTTGCTTTGTTTATGTCCACAGGTGCCTGGTACACTCGTGACCTAGATCGACAGCGTGGGATTTGCGGCTTTGATTACATGTACATAACTGTAAAACATCTCGCTGAACAATGGGATCGTAATATGTATCAACTAATGATCGTGAATTATTCAATGTATAAAGTTTAAGATTAATTATATAGTTTGTTACAATGATAAACGTAGAAAAGTAGATTTTATATCTTCCGCTTTTCAAGACGTGTTCACTATAAAACTAATTAAATTTTATAAAGAAAAATAGAAAAAGTAGTTGTAATACATGATCTAATAGTTAATCATAAAACACTTTTAAACCTTATTTTGAAGAAAATCAACATAAAATACCGTAGGGTATATTATTTATAGCAAGTTATACACATGATGAGGTCAGATTTACTTGCCGAATGAAAACGGTACATGTTTACCTGACCTGCTTTCGACTGCATATTATGCAATAACCCCGGTATATTCGAACAAATAAACATTCCTATCAGATCAAAAGGGTGTTAAAGAACAAGTTTGCTCGTAATATTTAGATCGAAATATTTACCGTTTTTGAGTTATAAAGCAAAAACTTTCAAGCTACAGAGATCCCTTATTTTAGGGGCCAGCCCCTTTTCTATAGTATTAAATGAAAGCCCTTGCAATTATGCACAACTTTTGTGCAACATGTCTTAACAAAATATTTTTAGTTTTCAAGATAAAAAGGAAAACACGTGTAAATTTTCGCTCTTTTAGGCGTTCTATTTTTTGACCCCTGTATTGCGCCATTTTGAATAGAGAAATCGAAAAACAAAAACCGATGTGCACAACTTCAATACTTCTGTTATCTAAAACCAGTAAAAATTCTGCCTCAGCTCTAGTGGTCTCTGAGCCTTTGTCTGGAAATGAAAGCCTATAATTTTTCGTTTAAAGGGAAATAACTCAAAACCGGAAGTGACTTTTTGAAATTATTGACAGCATTCTGATAGAGTTTATTACCGTCTATAATGTCTGAAAATTTGAACAAAATCCATCAAAAAATGAGCGAGATACGAGGCCTCAAAGTTGGCGTCTAGGAAGAAAAAAAAAGAATAATAAGAATAATCTTAATCTTCACAATCAGTAGAAGGTCTTCCGTTGGAAACGGAAGACCTTAAATATATGTAAAAACTCGGCAACAAATGCGACGTCGGTCGTCTGCATGGGGCAGCGACTGATCAAAAAATTAGTTTTTGTACGGTTGAAACAGCGTAAGAGACAAATTATGAATTTTTTTAAAAACAACTTAAATTTATTGAAATATATTTAACGTATCAATTTCAGATTGCTATATACGATTTTTCAACGGTGTATAAAAATTCGAAGACACTACAAGAATAAAAAAAAAACACTTGTAATTTACTGAACATGGATATTTCTATTTATGACGTTAATAAATCTAGCGCAGCGTAGATTGGTGTATACAAACTGTTTACGTAGAACGCTCGTAAATTTTTGTTCATTTATTTTTTTATTATAATAAATTATAATCTATGCTTAAAGATTATTGCTAGCACTTGGAAGTGCGTGCAAGAAATGAAGTGTGTGTCTATGAACATGTGTTAAGTCAAAATCCAAATGTTTGACGTTATAATGAAATAAGCTTAACGTCAGACTGGCCCGTGCACACAATCTGCGATCTTTAAAGACCCCAATTTTTACAAAAATATCAAGTTTCCCAAATAAAAATTAATCCATTCTGACTTGGTTTTTCATCACAAATGTATACAATAGATGCATATAGTAACATTTATTTTGACAAAAACTTCATTGTCCACGAACCTTTTGGACAACCCTCTTACGTGAAAGATAAATGTACTGGTAATTATTGTTCAAATGATACGGCCAAAGTAAAAGTTTAAAATTATTATGTAAAAGAGGGTCAAACTCCAAGGTCAAGGTCAAAAAGTCAAATCTAGTGGTACATGTACCCAAAGAAAGGTCTTGTCTCAAGGAATACACTTGTGAAATATGAAAGTCATAGCTCCACTAAATAAAAAATTATGGGCAGGGTTAAAGTTTTTGCGGACAAACAGAGAGACAGACAGACAGACGGATACGACAAAAACAATATACCCCCGAAACTTTGTTTACTGATGCATAATTATTTAAATATCACATAAACATATTCATGTGAAATTATTAAAAGAATAGGATAATTTTTATAATTTTCAAGTACAATGACATCCGTAAATACAATTCAACATTGAGTAGTCGAATGCTGATTGGCGTTTCTTTTTAAAAAAAAAATTGCACTTGTTAGTTTATTATTAACAATGATTTGACGATGGATTTTTCTGTTCTTTCCTGATCGTGACAACTAGCACACGGCGGGTGTGATAATTCGGCAGGGAGTGCTTAGTACGTCCTCCATGGCACCTTGAGTACGTTCAACAGCGTAGCTGCTACGTAGCCGCTACGTTAAGCTAGGCTCTTGAACGGACAGCTAACCTAGCTGCTACGTATGGAGAGGTAGCATAAATATTTAATGGTACGTCCTAAATTCAAGATGGTTTCCTTAGTTACATATCGCAGAATTCAAGATTTTTTCAAACAGGAGGGTTACTTCCTATATCTAAGTGAATTAAATGTAAATTTAAAAACATATCCTCGCCTGAAATAAACTTTATTTTTTCTAGTAATAAGTTTTTACTGATATATCTATTTTCAAAATCTAACACTTAGCAGCTAGATTAGTTGTCCGTTCAATAGAGGTAGATATCTACAACTAAGCTGCTAGGTTAGCCGATACGCTGTTAGTGGTATAAGGCGCCTGGCCGGGCGGGTCAACTGAGTGCACTTTTGGGGCTGGGGGATAGGTGGGTCAACTGAGTGCACTTTTGGGGCTGAGGGGGATAGGTGGGTCAACTGAGTGCACTTTTGGGGCTGAGGGGGATAGGCGGGTCAAGGGAGTGCAGCCCCTGTGGGGGATAGGTGGGTCAAGGGAGTACAGCCCCTGTGGGGGATAGGTGGGTCAAAGGAGTGCAGCCCCTGGGGGGGATAGGCGGGTCAACGGAGTGCAGCCCCTGGGGTGATAGGCGGTTCAATATTTAGGACATTTTTGGGGCCCTTGGGGATAGGTGGGTCAAGGGAGTGCAGATTAGGCGGGTTTGTGGGGGGATAGCCCGGTCAATTCATTACATATAGCCCCCCCTAAATAATGGTGGAGTGTTTACACTGTGTTTACATTATACTATATACGCTGCTACTACGACCTGTTGCATCATCTTTTTTAATACCTGATGAATCATCTTATTATACTTATTATACTTGTTGCATCATCTTATTATACCTGTTGCATCATCTTTCAAACTGGATTTCCTCAAAACAATAACAAATAACACACAAGACCAAAACAAAAGAACACAGCAATTTTATTCAGGTAAAAAATACAATCATTTACTTCTTCTTCTTCTGGGCCTTTTCGGTCATCAGGGATAGTTTTCTCTTTTGAGTAGTGCTGGGGCCTGGAATCTCTCTATTGTCTTCCTTTTTCTCTTTTTTGTCTCCTTCTTTCACTAAAGGTTTGGTCTGGTGGGTCCCTGAAATCTTGGGTTCTTGAGGCTTTTTCTCCAGTTTTGCTGTAGGGTGTCCTGAGTTCTTGGGTTTCTGAGGCTTTTTCTCCAGTTTTTTAAATTATTTCACTAACTGGTCTGTCTTCCTTCCTCGTTGGCTAATCTTTTGCATCACTTTTTTTAAAAAATCACCCATATCATTATGAATTATCTGTATGATAAAAGCCATTTGATTTAAGATACCGCTTATCAAACTCCTGTCATCTACGTCCATAAGAATCTGTGTTTCTGGTACGGTCTCTGTTGTATTTTCCTCTGTCATATTTTAGCTCTATCAAGTTCAGAATGCTAACCAAGTGAGATCTTATATTTCCAGCTCCGCTTTATATACCTGCTGTGGGGTGTGTTCACTTTTTACCTGCCTTTTTATACCTGTTGCATCATCTTTTTATACCTGTTGCATCATCTTTTTATACCTGTTGCATCATCTTTTTATACCTATTGCATCATCTTTTTAATACCTGTTGCATCATCTTTTTAAACCTGTTGCAACACCTGTAAGGACCGTGTGCAAACAAATTAGGGTCGTGTGCAAAAAATAGGTTGGACTTACATTTTGATCGTACTGTGTACGATTTTGTACACAGTCTAGTCAGCGAGCTACCTATGCATTATGACGTCATACACTTGTAAAATTAAAGTTTCATTTCACTTTTGTTTCTAAGAAGTGAACTTAGAGTTTCAGAAAATGTAGGACTATCTTTTGTTTTTCTCTCTTTTACTATGATGATTTTTCTGCTGTGAAGTTTTTCTTGTATAAAGCTCAATTTCTCTATGACCACTGAAGTAAACATCCTGATCAGTGATACATTCTTGCCATGTGAATGTTGAGACCGCGTTCATTTTTGAAATCTCCTTTCTGACAGACATATTCCACAGGTAATTTTGTGTTTACATTTCCTATGAAGGTCATCTTTGCATTTAATCATAATTATGTAAAGTTCTGTCTTGAATGTAAATGCTGTATTTATCCTCATTTCAAGTGATTTACAGTTGTATAACCAGTGCATGTAACTCAGAGTGCATTTAATATTTCTATGATTGAATTTAAATCAGAAAAATGTTCACTGAAATACATGATATCTTTTACATTTCAGTCCCTTTTGTCTGTAAATTATTGCTTTACTTACATTGTAAAATGAGGTTAATTGTGTATCACTGAATTGTATGATTTTTTCAGGATCAGCTGAGATGTTATTTCACTGAATTATTTAATTGATAGGCTTATTTGGCATATATTTGGATATCTCTGGTAAGTTTGTCTTGATTTTTGATTGTTTACATTTCCTATGAAGGTCATCTTTGCATTAAAGCATGATTATATGGTTAATTTAATTACTGTGTAATACTCATGTGATCTGTTGTCTCTAACTTACATTCATATAAGCACACCCTTATTTAACCTAAAATATATTAACACATGATTAAGGGATCTTCAGAATATTAATAAGTCCTTTTGTATAAATTATGATATAATTTCATAATTCATTATGTATGTTACCCATTGAATTCAGACTTACTAAATGGTGATCAAGAGATATTAATTAGGAATTTAATAAGAGAAAAGGAAGAATTTACAAATGATTAATCCTAAGTCATTTACTTTCTGTTTTGATTCTAAATATGTTTGATATATGACATACATATATTTTCATTTTCACTTTTGTTTCTTAGTAATGAGCTTTTCCAAAAAATGAAGGACTTTACATGTTGTACTGTGATGATGCTAAAAAAAGATGTATTTTTCTGTATGCAGTACTGATAGGTATTAAATCAAAATTGAATCTGCCTTTAATAAAAAATCTTTTAATGTCTAAATAATTAATTTGATAATCATTTTATTTGTGATATTAATACAGTAATTGTGCTTTTTTTATTATCTAAAGATAACATGATGAACTTTTCTCATCTGGAGTTAATGTTAAAAACAATTTTTTGAGATTAAAAACAAATATTTTCATTATCTTTTTTTGCATTGTACATGTTTGTTCAGGTTTTAAACATGCATTGTTTAATGCATTACTCTGTCATATTAACAAAATGGTTTTATTTTTACAGTCATCAACATGGACGATATGTTTTGTTCCTAACTATCTATAATCAATTCTCTATGAAGTTCAGACTGTCTGCTCTTCCTTTGGAAATACACAGTTAGTCAACCAACATAGAAACACACAAACTTGAAGGTAAAGTTTCAATGAAGATACAATTGTAATTTTTATTTATTTATTTTTTTAGATATGCATGTTTATATTTTTGAATTGATAAGTAAATGATATACAGAGCGTCCCAAAACATATGTTACACTTTTAAACCGTTATGAAAATTTTATGCCTCAAGTTACAATAATGAAATTTAAAATATATAATAAAATTGTTATAAATTTTTTTGTGAAGCATACCGTTGCCACAATTTCCTTTATTAATCATCAATATTTTTTCGTTAGAATAACATGTCATTTTACAACATGTTCCAAATGACGTCCATTGAATTGAAATTGTTTGAACACAATTCCTGAAGATTTTATTTACCAAGCTGTAAGTATAACATATATTCTAACAGTTTAACTTCAAATACCTTCACAAACATGTAAATTAGTATTCTGTTTAGGACTTTCCAAACAAGATGTTGTTTTCTTATGGTACTAATGACGAAAGTAGCAATTTTAGACAGATGGAAAAGTTTTACAATTTCTACCAGATCTTCACATGAAGGTTCCATATCAAAATATGATGACGTCATTAGGACATCATAATTACCTGACTCTTGAATAGAAAGTTCTTGAAAGTTTGTCGGATAAAATGTATGCTAATACATTAGAAGTTGACAAAATATCTTTCTGAATGCTATTAATTTGATAAAGTTATATGTGATTAAAAGTGTAACATATGTTTTGGGACACCCTGTATGATTTTTTAAATAAAGAGGGCTTGGTGGTCGTGGTCATGTTTAAACTATATTGATATCCTTTAGAAGAAGAAAAGGCAGAAAAATTCATGATCAAATTTTAAAACTGAAATGTATGATATTTTTCTTTGCCAAATGATAGTTAACAGCTGAAGATAGCATATCTATAGAATAAGTTAAATATGGCTAATTTGTTAACCCCCAACTTCCTTAATAGCATAGTTGGTAAAGATAGGAAGTTTTGACTTCAATTGCTGATGAATTCTGAATTTTCCATTTAATATTAACATTATATCAAAGGGAAAGAATACTATAATGTGGCTCATTAGGATGACCAGAAAACAAATCTTAATGACCCTCTTGACTATGTATAAAGACTGTAACCTTATAACTGATGTAAGGTGATCTGATTGTGTGCAAATAAAATTTCCTGGTGTTTCTACTACCCAAGATCTTCTTATGACTGTATGGGACTGCTGTTAACCTTCTCCTGTTTATAAAAATAATACCTTAGAGCATGACACTTTATTCATAAAAGGTACTTTCAATATCATTTCTATGAGTTTGTGTTCTTTCTTTTTAATAATCTATTCTAGTGTTATATCTCCTTTAACCTCCTTAATATGTATGCTTCCAAAATCATTATAGATCTGTCTGTATAGTTTCTTCAGCTCTTTGAACACAAATACCCTGATTCAAACTTTTGAGGTAAACATCATAGAGACATCATATATGATTATCAGAGTGTATATATCACAATCTTGACCAAAAGGTCAATTTAAATGGTCAAAGGCACAACAAATGAAAGTGAAAACCTTTTTTTTAATCAGAATACATAATTTTGTAATAAACAAACACTGGAAAGTTACTTTCATAATGATCCTTAATATCTTCCAAGAGTTCAGTTTGGACTTCCTCCATTAATCCTTATATCTTGTAATCCTTGTATCTCCAATGGTTTTGTGGGCTAAAAATCATGTGTCTTTAACAATCTTTTTTTTTCTGACAACTATTTTTTTATCATCTATAAACTTGACTTCTTCTTCTCCAGTCGAAGGTCTTTCAGGGCAATCCAAGTAATTCTTACCCTCTTTTGGTAATAAATGGTTATATTCTTCATTGGCTTCTTCTGCAATCAAGGGTCTTTCTATGCAATCTCTGATAACATTAGGATCACCCTTTTCTGGACATAATTGGTTATATTCTTGTTGAGAAATGATTCAATAGTGCCATCTTTTTTTAATTTAACTGGTATACCTCTGTCTACATCTTTCTCTGAAAGAATTCTCTCTCCATACTGAGTTTTACTCATTCCTTTACTCTTTTCTTCACTAGAGGTCTTACCCATGGTTAATATGAAAAGTCAAAATCTTATGTTACAACTTGTATTTATACCCTTTTTGTCTATATTTAGAATTCCATCAAGCTTATATTATATAACATTTTTTTTTTCAACTAAGACATTATTTTTTTATTTTTTCAGGATTCTCTAGTGAGGGCTTATGGAAATGATCTATGTCTACTCTCAGAATGGTGAAAGACTTTCAGATTATGCAAAGACTAACAGAATATCCTCTCTTGGAACACTGAGACAAGAAAATAAAACAGGATGGGGGATTTAAGAAGAACAGAGATAAATATGATTTCCAACGAATTTAACCAGTACGATCATAGACTGTGGTTTACAGGATGGCAAAGAAAGGACTCAGGATTGTATCTTTTTACTCTCAGACACTGACTGGATAAGATGTACCCATTTATCAAACTGAGATATAGTCAAATCAAGTATTGAAAATATGATTTTCTGATAGCATGAGCTCTTTAAAAACTTATTCTCACAGACCTCAAAGTATCTGAATGTAACTTTTATTTTGACCACGCAGCACAGTTAAGGTTACAAATGGAAATATCGCCGATTTTTAAAGATAAAAATTACATACTTTATTAGGATGGGCGATTCTTTTTAGGAATTCACTGATATAAAAAAAATGTAATGTGGTTTAAATCTACATGTTGGGGACATTTAGATTTTTTTATTTAGACTTGTCATGTAATGTCGACGTCACATGACTTTGGCAATTATACTTGCAGTTTAGAGGTCATCTATAAATTTCAATATTGCAAGGGCATAACCAAGTTAAAAATCTTAGTTTGTTTTATAATCCTTTTCAACACTATATGTAGTTTTTGAAAAGTGCCGCGAACCTATATAGATTCCCTTTTTTAATTGGTAAAATTTAATTTGTTGGACGGCAGGTTGAATATTTTGCTGGTCAACTACATTAAATATAGCTATAATTAATTTATTTGCAAGATTTCAAGAGGTTCGCAGCACTTTTCAAATATCTTAATGCTTCTTGAGTTTACGTGTAAAATTTTGACAAGATACATTGAGGGTATGCCCTTGCAATAAATCGATTTATTAGGGCACTTCCATTACCTTTTCAATGAATTTGCATACAAACACATGACATTATCGCTTGTCTGGAGAATGCACGTACAGCTTATAAATAAAATACTAAAATAGACATCGCATCCAAGTTAACGGCTTTTTATTTTACTGCAAATAATATTTTATTTGAGAACAAAAGACATTTTTCATTGTACAAAATGTGACTTGATCAGCCTCTCACTGTGTACAAACTGCGTCATTTTTGCGAGATGACGTCACATTGACAAGTGCATTGCGATCGATGCATCGTTTATATACTGTTGTGTGGGATTTAACAAACGGCAAAATTGCATGTAATAGTAAGTTTGTATGTAGTATACAGCTATCCAGCTGTTTGAAATAGAAAATAATTTCATTTTGTGGTATTTTGAAGACCTTTCATTATGTGTGACGTCATAGTAAACATTTCCCGTACAAATTAGGCCCTGCCTCCTTACTGTAACCTTAACTGTGCTGCGCAATTCATATTGAAGACTGTTGTTATGTATGGGAATTACACATTAAAACCTTTTATTTTTCATCTAATTTTTATAACCCCCTAGAAATTACACAGATATCCAGATGCTGGATTTAATGTTATTATTTAAGGTAAGGTTTGCGTCTCCCTCCAACTTTTATTTTTTTTAATATGCACACATGCCATATATCAATTTATTCAGGGAGATTAGCTTCATCATTT